TTGTGGGCAAATCTACTGGGTCAGGCATAAGAGAACTGAGGGAGTTCCCGCAACTTCGAGGAAAACTATCAATTTTGAAGCTACAAAATGTAGTTGATGCGAGGGATGCACTGCACGCCAATATGAAGCACAAGCAAGATCTCAAGGAGTTAGAGTTTTCATGGGGTGCGGAGGATGCTGATGATTCCCAAAAGGCGAAAGATGTACTCGACAGGCTCCAGCCTTGCGTGAATTTGGAGAAACTAACCATCAGATTCTATGGGGGAACCAATTTTCCGAATTGGTTAGGAGACTTGTCTTTTTCTAACATACAAGTCATGCATCTCAGTGACTGTAGTTATTGTTGGTCACTCCCACCAGTTGGGCGGTTACCAGCACTCAAAGAACTCTGTATAGAAAGAATGAAGTTTGTGAAGGCGATTGGCGTCGAATTCTATGACAGAAATGGAGCTTATCTGACTCAGCCATTTCAATCTCTGGAGAAGCTGGAATTTAGGGAGATGCCAGAGTGGGAGGAATGGGTCCCAAGTGGAAGTGCAAGTGGAGGTGAATATGGTCCAGACTTTCCTCATCTCCAGGAGCTGATTCTAATTAAGTGTCCGAAGCTGAGAGGAAGTTTGCCTTGTGAGCTGCCTTGCTTGAAGAAGTTTACGGTGTCTGGGTGTGTGGTTTTACATGATGGAAGGGCCACTACCACAACTACCAATAGTCTTAACTATAAATCTCTTGAAGAATTGAAAATAGATGGATGCAAAACAGCTCTGTTATCATTATTAGAGACAAAGCTCCTGTCCCAACTTGAGATTCGAAATGTTGTTGATGTACAGTGCTTGCCCAACTGCAATCGTCTTCAAACTTTGACTCTTTGGAATTGTCCAACATTGTGGTCGTTCCCTAAAGATGGCCTACCCACTAAATTGACATGGCTTTCTATATACAATTGTAGGAGATTAGAATTCCTACCCCATGAGATATTGGCCAAATTGACATCGCTTGACTATTTGTGGATACAAAATAGCTGTGATTCAATGAGGTCCTTCCCGTTGGGAATTTTTCCCAAATTGATGTGCCTTTACATTCATGAGTGTGAGAATCTGGAATCCCTCTCCTTGATTGATGAAGAAGGAGCTGTTGAGAATCTTAGCCATCTCAATTACTTGGAAGTCTATAAATGTCCAAAAATGGTGTGTTTTCACGAGGGACAATTGCCCACTCCCAACCTGACTCACTTTGTAGTCACTGAGTGCGAGAATTTGAAGTCATTGCCCGAACGCCTTCACACCCTCACAGCCCTTCGATCTTTGTGGATATGGAATCTTCCGAATCTGGAGTCATTTGCAGAAGACGGCGGTTTGCCTCCCAACCTCCGACAATTTCATATTATGAATTGTGAGAGACTGAGGGCTTCATCAGTGGGAGAGTGCTGGGGTTTGCAAGCACTTGTCTCCCTTGAAAAATTTCGTATCAGTGGAAGTGACCATGTCTTGGAGACATTGCTCAAGCAACAGCTGCTCCCTACCACTCTTCACACTCTCCACATCTCTGATCTATCAACTCTGAAATCTTTGGACGTTGCTCGAGGACACCTCACTTCTCTTCAAGTGCTAGAAATTTTATTGTGTCCAAGTCTGGAATTCCTGCCTGGAGAGGAACTTCAACACCTCACTTCTCTTCAAACTCTAAGTATTAGTTGGTGTCAGAGTCTACAATGCCTGCCAGAAGAGGGTTTGCCGCCATCTCTTCAAAGGCTAAAGATCCACAGATGTTCTGCCCTGGAGAAAAGGTATAAGAATAAGACGGGACAAGATTGGGCCAAGATATCTCACATTCCTTGCATCGAGATAGGCAACGAAGTGATCATATAATATGAGCTATTCCATATTTCACTCTCAAATCAAAGTCAGGTCAGGTATGTGCCTTCTCTTACTTTAGAAAACTGCTTCTCTTCTTCTAATTGAATACAAAAACCAAAACACATATTCTCTTTCTCTTCCAAAAACCCAAATACATGTTGGACATTGCCCAAGTTCATCTCATTACTAATAACGTGTTGCTCAGTAAATTGTATCCTATTTGGAGTATCAAATGCTGAATAATTAGCAGTCTCTTGGCCCTTGGGGAGCTTTTCATTTGGAAAGTTTCTTTGTGTGGAATTTCCAGAGGATGGTTTACTATTGTAAATAGCTCTTTGTTTTTCTATAAAACAATTGTCACAGCGAGGAGAAACAGAAAGGTTTACCTGGAATATCTCCATTGATACATTCCTGCATATAGGCATCAAATGTACACCATTTTTAGGTACTTATATGTGATAAAAATGTATTTGAGTCTCATTTGAGCTAGTTTAAATCGAATTTAATGCCTATGGATAGTCTGTTAATGGGTTCATGCCATTAATTAATCTTTGGACTTTCCCAGGTACTGCGGGTATGTTATTAATGTTGTGGCCTGGTATATGTCGTCCTAGTATCAATAGGTTGTCTTAGGTTGAGGAGAGAGATCGATCACCAATTACAAAATTGTTAGTGAATTTAGCTTGTTTAAGCTTTGTTTATCATCTCTTTCCTTTTCTTTGTTAAGTTTTGTTGTTCTAGGTGATGGTTTACCAAAATTATAAAGTATACTCCTATTACAATTAATTTGTTGATTCTAATTTGGACTTGTAGGAACAGACCAAACATGTTTGTACGTGGCATCGCTCAAGTCATCATCATTTGGGACAGAAAATCAGCCTTCAAATGTCTGCTGAGTCAATGAACCTTTCTAGATATCTCAAGTGTAATTGAAATTGATGAGTTACATAAGGATTTGTAAACATTTTTCTGTTTGAAATTTTCTACTGGTGGCTAGAAATGTTTCTTATAAGTTTGCTTTTTTGCAATTATTTTGTAGGATCAAAGACTCTGCAAAGAGGTAAGAAAGTCATCATCAAGTAACTTTGCTCTTCAAACTTTTTATTTTTATTTTTAAATATCAGTCATAACTGGGAAAGCTTGCATCTCCTTAAATTGCTCATTCTTACATCTTTTATAGTTTGTCGATCTTGGGCAAGTGGAGAGAGAGGCATCAAGTTATACACAGCAACCATTTTCTGTGAACTGATTTGATAAAGAGAAATGGTATGCTTTCTTGTCTTAAGCGGTATGTTCTGCAATGATTTGAAACAAAGGGTGCCGGACTTCAAGTTCGAGAAAATCAGGTATTTTAGTATTTTATTCTTGAGAAATTTGATCTATGTAGAAATTTGAACATGTGAATGAGAGAAACAAAAAATTTATAAAATATGTTATATATTGTATATGCTGTTAATGAGTTAATATGGTGCTTGCTACTAGTTGGAAAGTTGTGTAGTCATCTAACTATGATCAAATAAAGATGAAAAATAAAATAAAATAGAGAGCATCTTCCTCTCCCCTGCGTTGCTCATCCCTTGTTCTTCCACTTCAGCCCTACTATTACACCATTTTTTCAGCCACAATTATAATTGCTCCATGAGCATCTAGTCCTTTTCAAATTCTGCTAACATTCAAAATTGGAATTTGCTGGTGATATATGATAGCATCTTTGTCCGACCAAAAAGAAAAAGGAAAAAAAGTTGATAGCATATTGTACCATTTTGGCCAGTGTACGCAATATTATTGCATCCAACTTTGCATATTAACATCGGTGGCCACAGTTCCACGATTTGAGTGCACAGCTGCTCAATACCATTCTTCGCACTCTATATATTACGGCCTGTCAGTCTATAATTCCTGCCAGGAGAGGAACTTGAATGCCATCTCTTTCTTATCTGTGCATCGGCCATTGTTTTGCCATGTAGAAAAGGTATCTCACATTCCTTGCATCAAGATAGGCGAAGAAGTGGTCATAAGATATGAGCTCCCTCTCCCTCTCGCTCACATACAAAGTACTTAACACAAATGCTCAATCTGATTTCTATTATTATTCTGCTCAGTAAATTCTGGTTAAATTTCCTTTATATCCTATTTAAATCTCAAATGCTGAATAATTAGCAGTCTTTTTGCAGGACGACATATCTTCTCTTGAAGCGCTATTCATTTGCAAGGTTTCCTTATGTGTCATTTCCAGAGGAGGGTTTACTATGTAATATAGCTCTTTGTTTTTCTACGGAACAATTGTCACGATGTGGAGAAATAGAAAGGTTCACCTGGAATATCTCAACTGACACATTCCCAAATACAGGCATTGAATGCACAACATTTTGAGGTACTATTTTTGTAATAAAAATGTACCTTAGTCTCATTTGAGCTAGTTTAAATTGTATTCAATGTCTATGGATAACCTGTGAGCTTAAGTTGTAAGATAAAACTCACAGTATATTATTAGGGTTTAGGGTTCAACTGGTGAGCTTAAGTTGTACTTTCCTAAGTACAGCATGTATATTATCTTAGTATCAACAGGAGGTGGTCTTAGGTGGAGGAGAGAGATCATTGAGGAATTACAAAATCTTCTTAGTGAATTAAGCTTGTTTCGGCTCTGTTTGTCATCCCTCTCATTTTCTTTGTTAAGCCTTGGTTTTTAAAAGACATAAGAAAAAAAATGCTTCTATAAGACAGGAGATGAATGCTTTGATATGTTAAATGTCACAGTCAGTCTTCAACCAAACTCGTTTTTAGAATTCATTATGTTAGAATTCTATGGTTGTATCTGTATTTTTAGATTTAAGAAAGATGTATATTCTGGAGATTTTGCTAGAGAGGAAGAAGAAGAATGAGAAGGCACTGTTCTATTGCATTTTTACAAACAGTCGGCTTACATAGTGTGACTGAGAGAGAGAGAGAGAGAAATGTGATTCTTCTCTAACAGAATTACAGTTGTCACCCTATGAGGTGCTTACACTTGTCATGCCAAATCTAAGCTAGAGAATCCACCTGGACTGTAATCCAAAAGTTCTCATTACATCATATAAACTAGACATAAAGGAAAATGAGAACTAAGCCTTGGTGACTTCGGCTCTAAGAAATCAGGTAGAAAAAGGATTATATTTCAACACTCCCTTCTAATCTTTTAGCTGATTTCACTCCAAGTAGGCTTCTCAACCTCACAAACCAATCCTTAGGCAGAGCCTTAGTCAAAATGTCTGCTATTTGATCTTCTGTCTTGCAGTAGATGAGTTCAATTTCTTTTGCTTGAATGGCTTCCCGAATGAAATGAAATTTCCGGCTTATATGTCTTGTCTTCTGGTGATGAACTGGATTCCTTGCCATTGCAAGTGCAGAGGTGTTGTCACATAAAATTGGAGTCCCTTCTACCTGTTCTTCACCAAAGTCCTCAAGAACAAATCTGAGCCACTTAGCTTGTGAAGTTGCTTCTGCAGCACTCACATACTCAGCTTCGGCTGTAGACAAAGCAATTGTGCTTTGCTTGATGGAGGCCTAAGAGAACATGCTAGCCTTAGTCAAAATGTCTGCTATTTGATCTTCTGTCTTGCAGTAGATGAGTTCAATTTCTTTTGCTTGAATGGCTTCCCGAATGAAATGAAATTTCCGGCTTATATGTCTTGTCTTCTGGTGATGAACTGGATTCCTTGCCATTGCAA